GCCTTGGTTCCCTCCCCCCGCACTAAGTCTAGGACACCAGGTAGAATGATACTGTGCTTCCTGATAGGTATAAAAATCATATCTACGAAATGGTCTGGACAATCAAAGGATGTGATGTATACCTAAGGATAATGATGAGCAGAGCCTTTGTGCCTTGAGCAGCTCTATGACAGGCAGAAATTCAACACCAGCTCACTTCTCCCAGAACTGTGTCTTCATGTTCCTGCTTACCTGGAAGAGCTGCACCTGTTGAGTGCCTGCCTATTATCAAGTTAATATTGATACAAACTACAGATATATATGCTGAATTGTTACGCATTTGTACCTTTCTGTTAAAGAAATACAGTAAACTATTATTTAACAGTTGTGAATGTACAGGGCCTCTGTTAGTAAGAAAGGTGCACTGATGATCACAGCTTCATGTCTGCTTGTGATATGTTTGTTTTCTCTGTATCCCATCTTTGTTCCATCATGGAACTTAAGGAAACGTACTTAGTTTTCCAGGAGATTTCCCACCTGGGTGCTGGCCAGGTCCATCATGTAGCTTCAGATCATAATCTGGAATATACACCAGACTATATTGTTGTTCTTAGTACAGAAATCCCCACGCTGTGGAAGACAGATGTATGGAGAATGTGGACATGGTTACTAGTCAAATGGAAATGTGCCTGGAACAGAAATTAGATTTTATGAAGCTATTATATTTAGTGTTTAAACAATGAGTTTTCTAAAGATTAATGGACTCTTTATGAGCCTCTGGAATGAAGATAAATGTGTCCTGTAGATGCTCTTAGTAGAAACACTGAGTTGGATCTGGAGAATTTGAATGTCTTTAAAACAAAGATTGTTGTGAGGGCTGAGATGACTTATGGCTACAGTTGCCAACTGGCCTGGAGAGAAATGTCCTGTCCTCTTAGCAGAGGATTAATGTGTAAAACTGGGCAAGTGAATTTTTTCTTTGCATGGAGGTAAACCAAATCCTCTGGTAAATAACATCCCATTAAGACTCTATTAAAGGGACAGGGCACTTTTCTCCAGGACTTTGGCGACCCAATTGTAGCTAGAGTTCTCAAACAATGGGGCAGGAATAAATAGCTGCAAGGACTCCTCCCTTGTTACCTCTGCTGGTTTGTTAAACCACAAGGGGGATGTGCTGGTATCGCCATCAGAAACCCTTTTCCCCAACATCACAATCAGTGAAATGGTGGCAGTTAATCCCCCTTCGACCCATTGATTGTTGCTGGTGAGACAATGAAGCATTTTCTATTGCAAGGCTTATTTTTCACTAGGACCTTCCCTTAGGAACACAAAAACCTACTTCAGATAGCCCACTTTCTTCTCTGTTCTAGTTTGTTCCAGTTTTTAATAAGATTGAGTACTATTTGTTGGCTTTCTATTGATTTCTATTTGTTATTGTTACACATGTATTTCAGAGGGCACATTGTATTTCAGAGGGTAGCCATGATGGTCTTCAGTATAACAGTTAGAGACCAACAAGAATTTCAGGATTTAAGCTTTCCAGCGTCAAAGACATGTCAAAGGGAAATTACAATGGGAGATTCACACGTTATCATAAACTTGCTCTCTGTATTTCTGAGCAATGTAGGCCCCCCCGACTCGGGACCTCAGTTTATGCTAGGGACTCAACGTTAATTAGGTAGCGTGCTCACATATCCTGAGTCCCCTTTGTTTCCCCAGGCTATCAGGCTCAGCTTAGGAGAGATGAGGAGGGCACATAAACAGTCTCTACTGCCCAGAGATTCATTCAGACTCCCAGCTTATAAAACATAAAGGTTTATTTGGAGTGATTAAAACAAATAGGGGGAGTTTACAAAATAAAATAGACAATAGACGAAACCTCCCCTAACTATGCTAGCTACTCTAAACAAATGGTTTGTTGTTCCTTTCTCCCTGGAACTCCACCTCCGTTTTGGCTCAGCTACTTGCTTCAGGGTTTGCTCACAACTTGAGGGCTTGTCAACTGTCCTGGAGGCTTCCTCTGGTTCTTAGCACAGCCAAAGCTTGCTTGCTTGCAGACACTTGTGGTCTTCTAAGCAGCCCCTGCACCCGGACTATACCTCACGGTGAGCAGTTCAGGAAGATTCTCGCCGCGGCTCTTGGCTTCTTCAAGGCCACGGGCAGCATTCCTGGCATTCGTCAAGCTGTCGCCTTCAGTCTCCTTGCTTGCTTGGAACACGTAGTCGAGTATTCAGGCAAGTTCATGAGTCTTCCTTCATTCCTCCATCATGAATAATTCTGCCTCTAGGACTGAATCTTTATTCTTTGATTCCCCATTCCCCGTCCTAGACTAATTAGGGATTGCTGCCTTAACCCAGCTGGTTCCCATTTACTTAGATTATAGTACGTACTGATTCTGATTACACTTACATGTCTTCTATCTGAGATGATTCTGCAAGTCAGTATCTCTGGCATGACAAACGTTCAGAACAAGGGGGACCCCCAGGGTTCAATAGGGACATAGGATTTTTATCTCATTACAGATGCTAATTTTCTGCCCCCAAGCATTTCCCCTCTGCTCTAATTAAGCTGATTACAATATACACGGTACCTTTGCATCCTTTGCAGGCATTCTTTACAACAGCCCTCCCACCTTCTGGCTAGGACAAAAGGATTCAGGTCTCCTTTTCCAATCAACTGTGTCTGACGAAGGGAGCTTTGACTCCGGAAAGCTTACGCCCTGAAACTCTTCTTGGTGCTACTGGACTCTTCTAGTGCTACTGGACTCAAATATAACTGTGGTGGAATTTGTCATCGATCAGTAGTAATCTGCCTTGCTAAGGTCCAATTCATTCTGATAGCAAGTGAGGTGGTAAAACTTTTCCTGGACTGCCCCAATGCATATTTCAGACAGGGGTAAAATATGACCCACCTGCAATAAGGTCAGTCTGAGAGTCCTCAGTTGAAGTCTTGTAATAGAAAGATCTTTCTTTACCCTGTCAGCAACATTGATTTGCTTGTGTGTAGCAAGCCTATGGCCAGTTTGATTACTGGTGCACTACAGCTAGCCTGTCAATAGGGCCCTCCATTTATTTTAAGCAACTGATGGCTGTCATGAGAATGCACAAGTAGTGCATGGCTCAGCACTCAGTTGTGTAGAAATATGGTAGGGACTGGAAATGGTATTGCATCATTAATCCTACTGTGTAACAGGCCCTCAGTCTCTTTCAAGATCTGCTGAAGTACTGAAACAACAAGAGAAGAAGCTCGTTTAGAAAATTAGTAATGCATACAGAATAACAGCCAATAGAGAAAGGCATGTCTAATTGTGGGAACAGAGGAAGTATTGCTAAACTTCCAGCATTCTGGCACTTTCGTTCTTCACATTTTTTTTCTTTTTGCTTCTAAGATGTATTTCAAGGACCAGAGTGTTGTGTCTATGGCATGGCCTCCAGCATGTCATAGACTAAAATATGCTCCTCATACCAACGATTACTGCTGGAGCTAGTTCTCAAGTGGCAGTTACTCATTGGGGTCTGTAGAAAGTTAACGTTGCAAGAAACTGTCCTTCACTGACTTAAAAGCCAGGAGGGTGTGTGTTGGTTCTATTGGTTAAAGGTATGGTTGTCTCACAGCAAGTTATCAGCAACTGCTGGGTGTGAAATATGCCTTTGTGTTTAGGCACTGCATGTTCATGCATGTATACCAGTACTAGAGATTAAGCTTTGAGATCCTGTGATGGGAGCTGACCCCCTAAAGCATGACAGCAAGCAACTCACTAGGGCTGCCAAGTGGGGGCGGGGGGCGGGTAAACCCCCGCTTTGGAGGCCCGATTTCTGTCGCCACGGAATCGGGCCCCAGGGGGAACCCCACCCCGGCGTGTGCGTCACCAGAAAGTGACGTTATGATGCCGGGCACGCTGGGGGCGGGGCCACAACCATCCGAGGGGAAACTCTATGGTTTCCCCTCGAATGGTCGTGGCCCCACCCCCAGTGTGCCCGGCATCATAACATCACTTCCTGGTGACTCCAGGATCCACCCGGGAGTCCCCCACTGACTATACCTCACGGTGCACTCCAGGATCCACCCGGGAGTCCCCCGCTGTGGAGGTAAGCTATATTTGGCAACCCTACAACTCACACTCATTAAAATGTAACCAGATACTCTCAAAAAGCACAAATGGGAACAAATTTGGGCCAGTGATTTACAAGGGGTATATATCAGAAAATCAGGATTGTCCCACCACTCAGGGTGGTTGGAGAGATTTTTCCTCAGTTTTGTTAGCCAAACTGCTCTATCTACAGCAGATGGCGAACTAAATTCAATATGGGTTCCTGCCAAAGTTTACAGAGGTCCAGTCCACCCCAAGAATGTCCCAGTGAGAGAGACGAGACTGGTGAATTCAAAACAATTTGTCTTTTACTGAAGAATATCAAAATCGCATGCACACAAAACAGAATCTCACACACATACAATCAAGTTCCTTAAAGAAGGTAAAGGTTCCCTCGCTCGAAAGCCAGTCGAATCCGACTCTAGGGTTGCGAGGCTCATCTCTGTTTCAAAGATGAAGAGCCAGCACTGTCCGAAGACATTTCCGTGGTCATGTGGCCGGCATGACTAAACACCAAGGCGCACGGAACGCTGTTACCTTAGGAAGTTATCTGCTGGAGATCCCTTCCAACTCTATTATTCTATGATTCTATGAATAATGTAAGCTGCTTTGGTCCCCACTGTAGAGGAAGATTGTAATTTTCCTAGGTAGAGGCTGTGGGAGAGGGGGGTGGAGACAAAAAGCTGAAGAAAGAGAGTGAGAGAGATAGGGGGAGAGGGGAGGAAGCAAAGGTGTCAGGAATGGGATAATCATCCCACAAGTTTCTTGCGAGTCTCCACTTGTCATATAATTGTTTTCTGATTGGTTTGTATTATTATATTGTTTAAAATTAGTTGTTGCAAGTCATCAGTTTAGTGGAAAGGCAGATTTTTTTACAAATAACTCTTATCTGAAGAACTGACAACCGAATGTTTTGTGTATTACTTTACAGATGGGATGCCAAAGAAGCTGAAGAGCTACCCTTTGTAAAAGATGATCTGGATAACCAGGTGAGGCTATGAGGCTTGCCTGCTTAGATGCTTGAAACAAGCCAGGTAACACAAATGTCTCATAAAACTAAAAACCACACCCTTGTACTTTGCATTAATTCTGTAAAGTACTGGGTCCAGACGTGTTGACAAGTGAAACAGCTCACAGTTTATTTCAGCTCGGGAAACAAGACAAAGACCACAGGACCGGAGGCCTGCTTATATCCCCATAGTGAGCCACACCCAAACACACACCCACACCTGTGATAGGATTATTTACAGTCAGGGGTCATTTAGTAGAAAAAGAGGTGTAGGAGCTCATTAGGATAACTCATTAGCATAACTTATTTGCATATGCCACACACCCTGACACCACTGGAAGTGTGTCAGAAGGCAACACCCACCGCTCAGGCTCCACTGGACTGTTTTGGATTGCTAGCTATTGGGGGGGGGGATATGCAGATCTGTCCTCGCAGAGGAGGGATTGCTTGTACCTGAATAAAACTTGGTCTTAAAGGTGCCACTGGACTCTTTTGGACTGGGGGGCGGGGGGGGGGCTCTGCAACTTACCAGGCTGCTTCTTGCTCTGACTGAGGGCTGCTGGGAGCAGGGGGTGGGGCTTGTTGCATGTGCCCGCTCCCTGGGCTCTTTACTGCTGGAGCTCTGCTCTTGTGCGCTCCTGCAGGAAATGACCCTTGTTTACAGTGCATATACATTCTATAGGTCACTCTAGGATCCTGACCGCCCGATTGGTGCATTCTAGGATCCATGCTGGCTATTGTCTTAGAGAGCGAAGCTTAAGCCGTTCGCATGGCTGTGTAAGGACCTGACCGTGTGTGTGGTCTATGTAAGAACACAACAAATTTTCTAGCAGCACTACCACTCCTTTATTCTTTTCTCATAGTCACCAACGGCCAAACTAGAAGACACTACAGGGAGATTTGCAGTCAGTCTCTCTAAGGCCTTTATTCCCCATCACTTTCACTAAGCTCCAAGAAGGGGGGGGGAACAATGTGAAAGGAACCATTTATTCATAGATCAGGATATAGATGTGATGAGAGCAGTAGGGTAGGAGACTGCAGTCTTTGGCTCCACAGCCAAGCATGGCTCAATGTAGAACCAGCAACAGCTTTTTAAAAAATTCAATGACGTCTTTAGGTTACAGTATGTTGGAAGGGCAGGTGGGATGCTAGAGTAACCAATATGTGAAAGGAAGGGCAGGCAAAGATTCTTTGTGGACCTAAAGGGCTTCTTAGGGGTGATGGAGGTGAACAGTCATCAGTAGGCCAAGGGCAATTCATGCACAGATTTATGCCAGTGTGCTAAAACAGTCATGCAGGGTGCTCCAGTGTATATTTATTACTTCTTGTGAGTTCTGATATGTGCTGCTTTCTAATAAACAGTTCACAACAACCAGTGTATGGTCTGCAGAAACATTATAGATTTTTAATCAACATGTCAATGTTCAGTAATGTTAAGTTCTATATTTTCAGTTATGCAGACAGGCTTTTGTATACTGGCTCCTTGTTGATCTCTTGCTCTGAATGTTGGGGGGTTTTTGGTTGCTGACTGCTGGTGTAAGGGAAAAGCTAACCGTGGTGCTCTGCAAGCATAGCAACTGGGATGACAAGTGATTATAGGCCATGAAGGCTTATTTAAGCCATATATATATTTGTAATACCCTGACCAAGGCCAGGGCGTTTTATTTTTTCCAGAAAAGAAAGAAAATCACTACAAGGAGAACAGCAACAACAATACCAACAATCACATTATTTAAGCCATATTTTGAGGGGTCTCGAAGACATACCTTATACCTTAGGACAGACTGGAGAGTGTGTGTGCAGCATATTGGGGTGGTGAATAGGGAGGTGGTCAATATGATCCTATTTATTTAGCACAGTGACATTCTATTAAGATGCGACAGCTTTCTCACTAGTAAAGAGTAGTCAGTCGCTAATTACTGATATTGGTAACTTTGGATGTGTAGTCTTATGTTGCTGTACATAAAAGCTTAAGAACTGCAAAGCAGGATATTGTCTTTTTTTCATTCTAGAGACACCCTAGAACTGAACAACTAAAGAATCAAACTCTGGTCAGTGAGCCAGTAAAGGAACATAACTGCACCACAGAGTTAGATAAGAATGCTAAGCCACAAGAGGCCCAAGATGACCACAGTCTTCTCATGCTACAAGCTCAAAGATGTGGAAAGAGCCCATTTGCCTCCAGTGAAAATACCAGGAAATGCTTTGCTCAGGAAAGGCCTGCCTCTGGCATGGATGACCCTGAGGCAGAATCCAAGCTCAGTAATACAATTATTGGGGCTGATCAGTCCCCCAAGGGCCACTGTATGAATAGCAGCTCTTGCCAGGGGGTGGCCCAGAGTGTAATGCAGACTGCTGGATGTGCCATTAAGGAGATCAGTTCTGCAGAAAATGGCTTAGCCAGAAATATGCACTTTGAAAAGAGCCCTAGTGACGAGTGTACAGAAATGGATGCTGGAGGTGAAGGACTGTCACCAGCCAGACAAGCAGAAGGAGAGGCCCAAACTCTGGGCCTCGAGATGCAAAGAATCTCTGAGAAAGAAAGTGATGCCACTGCCTGCCTTGTACACAGGGAGGAGTTCTGCTCCCCAAATCAAGAAATCCCACACAGAACTAATACATTTGTACAGGATGGAGCAAAAATGAGAAACAAACAGGACCAACCTGAGACATGCAATAAGGAAGCAAAAAATTAAGAGAGAACATGCTGAGCTCCAAGAGCATGAAGGTGAGTGCATCCTAATTCATTCTATATGGCATTTTTATGTATGTAGGGAGATTTAGGAGGGAAGGAAGGCCGCATAGTATAGCCTGATCTCATCAGATCTCAGAAGCTAAGCAGAGTCACTACTCGGATGGGGGACCACCAAGGAGGACTCTGCAGAGGAAGGTAATGGCAAACTACCTCTGCTCATCACTTGCCTTGAAAGCCCATTGGTAGGGTCACCCTAAGTTGGTTGCAACTTCAGCACTTAAGTACATAGATTTCCAATCCCATTTATTTAGCTGGCTGCTGGTTATAGGTCAACACTATTTTCAAGTGTCATCACACATGTCAGCTAGCAATTTCTTATCTAGGGGAACGCCAGACAAATCTCTTCTTGTACCCAAGCAGTCCCTGATTTCTTTCAATGGAGGCAGTTGATTGGTAGTGTGCATTTTTTTGTGCAGGTTAATTTGTCTGAAATTGCTTTAACTTGAGTCAAATGTTAAGGTTCCTTCTGATGAGACATTGCCCACAAGTTGACAGGTCATCTTTCTTCATACTGGCATCCATTAATGGAGTTCTTGTGTCAGTGATCCATTTCATGTACAAGGCTATTAGCAGGCAGTGATTTGCAGCAGTGATCTACTTCTATCGGGGAACAGCTTGGGAACTCTTGCCTTTAAATTTTTGCTACAAGAATCCAATCCACCTGAACAGTTTCTCTCAATGGGTGAAGAAATACTGTGAAATGATAACAGTGAAACATTGACTTGCAAGAATCAAACTTTCTCCATTGGCTACTTAATTATTCTTTCCAGGCCTCGAGAACTTTGCCTCTCCTGGGCACCTTTGAAACACAAATATATATTTAATATGAAGAAATATGCATAAACCAGTGTAGACCAGTAATAGTGCATAGAAGTCCCAAGCAGAAGGAAGGCAGATTTCCTCTCCTCCTTTTGCCTTTGTCTTCCACCCATCCATCTCGGAGGTGCTTCTTGCCAGAAGGTCTCTCCTGAGCGGAGGTCACAGTGCTGCCACTGCCGGAGCAATCTCAAGAAATCCGCATCCTGAAAAGGATAGTTCTGGCATTGGCCATTTGGGAGCCACTTCCATGGAAAGGGCTCTCTGGGATCCAGTGGTTTCTTCCACTGGCGGAACAATGCCACAGAAGTCATGAGAGTGGCTGGTCTCGTCTCCTTCAGACTCCTTGTACCCTTCGAAGACTTACAAACCGTACATACTCAAGGAATCTGTGCCGTAGATGTCATCGTGGAAGAGTACTGACTTTTCCTCGTGGCAGTTTGAGGGGCAAACCTGATAGGGAGACGTTTTAAAGAAATTATTGCATCATTTCTAAAGCTTGGGGCAGTTTTAAAAGCCGAGCACAATTTTTAAAAAGCCTAGCAGGATAAAATATGTCGTTCCATCAGGACCAAGAAGGAACAAAAGAACACAGTACTTGGGGAATAAGGGGGCGAACTAGGCGCAATGTTGGAGGCTGTGACTGAATTCTTTAAATAGCTCCTGGGTAGGGGGGCTGCTTGGATTGGAACTGCAGTGTCAGGTGGAGGGGGGGTGGCTTCACTGTCACCCACACCCCTTTTTGTAATGTAAATCAGTCTCATGTGGTAGTGCTAGATCACCTTGTAGAGAAGAATGTTCATTTCCTTGATATATTCCTTACCAGGGCAAATAGAGTCGGCAGGGGCCAGTTTTCATAGGTGAAAGGGGGGGAGAATTACCAATCATCTACCCTCCCCAGGGTTCATAGAAGTCGAACACACCGTGGGGCATGGATTTCAAAATTCTCATTCAGGTTTTCCTTATGAGTTGTTTTGGCCATGCATGTCATTAGAAACCTCCAGTAAAATATCAGCACTTCATCCTTATTGCTAGGAAGGCACTGAGATCTGCACATCCTTCATCTTCAGGCACAGGGGCATGATAGAAGATAATGGAAGGAGGGGGAGAGGAAAGAGGCAGAGAAGAGGTACTGGGATGCTCTCATTTTTACGAAGTAAATCACTTTGCAAGGTACTGGAGATGGCTGATAGATTTTTTTTTTCTTATGGTGCCTGATGAAAGAATTATCACGTGAACATATTTATGTCCCTTCCTTCTTCATGCCATACTTCTGCAAAAGCCTTAAACTGTCAGATTACTGACACAGTCAGAAAAATAAAGGATAATCTCATCCCATTTTGCAGTGATTGACATATCCTGTTAAAGAGCTGAAAATAAAAAGCCCAGTTGTTTCTCTAGTATGTAAGCCCTTAGGTCTTAGACTTTCAATTTCAACATTGGTTTGTGCTCTTTTTGAAAGAACAAGACACCCCCACACTCCTGAAAGAGGTTTCATTCTCATGATTCATGAATAGATTAAGAGATTGTTTACATGAAGATGTTGATATCAGTTTTATTGAAATCAAAATTCTTTAGGTTTGCACAGGTTCATTATCATTGCAGCCAGGGAAACAGAAGATTCCCCCACACACACTAAGACGTATTAATATTAAGGTATAAAATACACATTGCCTCACTGAATCAGACCATTTACTGTGCATTCAGTTTCCAGTGGCAGCTAATCAGATGTCTTGATATTCCCAAGCAAGCCGTAAAGGGCAGCAAAGTAGCACTGCAGCCTTTCATTAAATTTTTTATCTTAAATGAACTGTAAATGTACTAAGCCAAGGAGCTTCTCCTTGATAAGACATTGATCTGGGCCATCTCTGTAGCCTCTGTGTGCCCATCCTAAAAGCTTCACCTACGCTCTGCATTCCACTCTTGCATTTGGCACCAAGAATGGGAGGTGCTGGCACTTGAGATTTAGCCAGTGGGTCAATCCGATAATGGACTGAGTGCTCCTGGCTTGATGGTTGTGCTAAGGGAAAAGCAGCACTGTGAAGCAGAAATCACCCTGGATTCAAGCTTGGATATGGATATGTAAAGAGTCTGCCAGGGCCGGCTAAGCTGCTCCGAGTAAAGGGGCAATCTTAAACAGGTCTACTCAGAAGCAACTCTCATGCTCTTCAGTGGGGTTTATTCCCAGGAATGTGCCCTCAGGATTGCAGTCTTAGCATCTGACTCTCCTTTCTTGTTCTCACTGCCATTCTTTGCGGAGGATGCATGTAAATAGGTATGCATGTATATGAAGTGTTATAAGAACACATAGCAGCAATCATGGGATTCACCAGCCACCATAAATGGCAGATATGCAGGACTGGTGTTGGCGTGTAGGCTGCTTGTAAACTGGGCAACACTGAAATTGGGGGGGGTGATGCTGGTGATGAATGTGTGGTAAAGCAGGACCATATTAGAGCTCTTACTGCTAGAAGAATGCAAGCTTTCAAGACTCCTCTTCAAAGCAAAATGGGAATCATGAAGGTGTAGTAATTTAAAGTAGATTTTGAGCTCACAGACAGCAAATTTGTTAAATAATGCAAATACTACCCCATTTCAAGTAGTGTCTCAATTGTAGCACAGGAATTAACTTGAAGTGCTTTTTGTAGATTGTATGTGCTTTGTGGAATCCAAGGACCATCAGTGTGGTGGTTGTTTTTCTAAAAGAAAATCACTTAATAGTCTTGTCTTTGTTTGCACAGCAATGTTTTCTTTTTGAAAGAAATGCTATGCTTTAAAACATGAATGTACACTTTGTGCCACCAAAATCTGTCCAATCATTATAATCACGTTATAAGATAAAAGACTGAACTAGGAAAACAAAGCAGGGTCCACACCATTTTCTTTAGGGGAACATACAAAGAGAACACTACCTTTATTTAGAAGTTTCATTCAGTTTCAGCCTCCTGCCAGAAGAACACCTACCTTGGCCTTTGGGTTGTGCTTCTCACAATAGTCAGGTACAAGTTCAACTCTTGCTGCCTTTTCCCCATTCTTCTTCTCAGTGCAAACAGTAAATGTAGGAGGATCATGCACAGTGGGGAGGGATGAGGAAGAAATGCTTCCTTTCACAAAAGCCCTTTACAAATGGCACTCTAGCATTTCATAACCAGGAGTGAATATGAGCAAACAGCTTCAGTACATGCAGATGGAACCCCAGATAGTTGCAGGAATGCCTTAATGCTTACTGAAAAGGAACAGGCTTGTAAACCTTTCCCTGTCTTTTTCTGATTGGACCCCGGGAAGTCAGATGATTCCAGTGGCCACCCAAAGTCTCTGCTTGGCAACGCACCCCTTCCCCACACTTCCCAAGGATGCCAATTACAAGCTGGGTAATCTTCACCACCAATGACTCTTAGGATCATCTCCACCCAGATGGAGTCATACTTCTAACACTCCATATATGCATTGCTGTTTAGACGCCCCACTCTTTGCTGCACCTCCCACTACGCTTCTACAAGCAGTTGTGGGGAGTTGTATCACAACTTTGTAATGTAGAACTATCATGCTCCAGGGATGGCAAACTTTTCAACTGCCCCTCCCCATTACCACACTTTAGACAGCAAGATGGACTAGGCGTGGTGACTAGTTTTCAGAGATTTGACTTAGAGAATTAAAAAATAAGAAAGTTTGATAAAGGAATAAAATAATACACATGTGCTGTTCAAACTTTTGGGCTTTGCAAGGGAAGTACCTACACTAGGCACTTGGTAAATGATTCAGAACAGGCTACCTTTATTTGAAGTTGCAGAAGTTTAGACTTCAGCATTACCTTAGATTACCAGGTTGGGACTCCTCTCCACCATGTCCCACTGTGTGGACAAGATGGATTTCTTAGGGGAAAGCTAATCCATCATGGCTTGTACCTATCTCAAGAGCTGCCCAAAATGGAACAGTAATTCCATATAATCATAGAGTTGAAAGGGGCCTCCAGGATCATCTAGTCCAACCCACTGCATAATGAAGGAAATTCACAAATACCTCTCCCCCCCACACCCAGGTCCATGCCCAAAAGACAACAAAAAACCTCCAGGATTCCCAGGCAAACTGGAGGAAAATTGCTTCCTGACCCCAAAGTGGTGATCAGCATTTCCCTGGGCATGTAAGAAAGGGCCACA